GGAGGGTGAAAGGGATAATTCGGTACATGTGTGTGGTGATGGGTTGTAATTAGTATTTTGGTGGTGAACATGATGTAGTCCATGCAGAGATAGAAGTACAATGATGTACACCTGAAATTTTTGCAATGTTATAAACCAATGTTACTGCAATAAAAAAAAAAAAATATATTGAGAACCATTCTACTGAAGGAGCCATCACTACTTAAATAAATGCATGTTGAGGTTAAAAACTCACATTATGTTTTAGTCCCAGCTTAAGGATCTGCTATTATTTCACAATGAGCAGGCTTCAGATGCGGCAGCCGCTGCAGCTGCCCCTATTATTCTATCGCTGCCGTTGTGAAATGTTCATTTTAAACACCTGGGGAACAGGAACAGTAACCATGCCTTAAGATCAGCTAAAGGACGAATGGTCTTGAAAATTTATTACTAATTCTCAGATTTTATTTAGAAGTAAACCTAGGGAAAGAAGATTTAATGAGTAATTGATATTAAGAAGTTTAAATCACGTGTGGTATTTTTCACGAGAGCAATTTTGCCTTACACATCTTTTTATTAGAAAGAACCAAATCTCACATTTGTCAGATGAAATTGCTGCCTAAATTATCTAAGATGATTTTCACATTCTTTTGTGGAAATCAAATTTTGTAAGGTTGTGGAATTAATTTAGAAGTGACAGTGGTGTGTTCTTTCTTCCAGGAGAGCTTGCTAATTGAAGTTGAAGGATTAAATATCCTCCTGAAAGCACTCAAGCTAATGAAGTAACAAAAGCCCAGAAGACAAAATTTAAGCAAAGCAAGTGAGTTCTTGAAATGAAACTCTTGAAACCCCAACTGGAGAAAACAAAGAGGCAGAAAAAGAAAAAACTAGAAAAGGAAAAAATGACAGAATATGAGGTACTTATGAAAGGAAGTGTTTTCTTGTTTATATATTTAGCTTTTTCATTTACATGCATTGCACAGATTGTGCTCTGGTTTCGAAGTTGTAAAATATGTCTGTTCCTTGCATCTCTTCTCTCACTGCTTGAAAATGTCAAAAGGAAAGGAGAACTCCCCTTGCCTTTATCTTACATGTGCAGGATTGCAAATTCAGATGCCTACTTGGCCAACCCCAGAGAGGGCTGTCCAAAGTGGAGGGACACGTGGCCATGAAAGGGTCAGCTGCCTCTGCACTCCACCGTTTGTTGCCAGGTGAAGTACAGGCCCCGCACTGCTAGATGTTCCAGGTATTCAGAGCACTGTCTTGGTTTGGGCTCCCCCAAAAGTGTACCCTGAGACAAGGATTTGGGTGCAAGTATTTGTTTGGGAGGTGATCCCCTAGAGCTCGGTAAAGGAAGAGGGCAGCCATATGGCCGCCGCCATCTGGCAACCACTGAAAGGAGGGAGAGGGGAAATTGCCTTATCTTTTCAAAAGAAGTATTTTGAATTTCAGTTATTAACAGTAAACATATTTAAAGCTTCTTAGTTTTATACAATGTTATAAACCAATGTTACTGCAATAAATGAAAAATTAAAAAATAAATAAATAAAGCTTCTTAGTAATTGTTTACAGACAATGGAAAAAATTTTTCTAATTATGTTCTGAATCTTGGATTTAAGGTGGGCTCTTTTTCTTTCTTTTAGGCATAGAATGTACTATTCAGGAAACTATAGCATTATTATATCTGGAACGCATGACAAGAACAAGGTTGGGAAGACTTGGAGGGAGAAAGTAAATTGTTATTCCTGGAGCAAGGGAGGGGATCAAATCATTAAAATGAGGTATGAATAGCACAGCAGAATGGATTGGGGGGGAGGGGTGGATAATACCTGATCACCAGCTAATTGTAAACAAGCAATATAATGTTGATTTCCTTTTTGTAGTTGTTGTTGAGGAAGATTGGCCCTGAGCTAACATCTGTGCCAATCTTCCTCTATTTGTATGTGGGTCACTGCCACAGCATGGCTGACAACTGGTGTAGGTCCATGCCTGGGATCCAAACTAGTGAACCCTGGGCCACTGAAATGGAGCGCACTGAACTTAACCACTACGCGCCACAGGGCTGGCCCCATTGACTTCCTTTTAAATATGAATTTTAAAATGGCTGATCCTCTAGTTCCTTTCTTGGGCCCACGGTAACTCCTGTATCCAGGACTAAACTGTATAAAAATCATGAAAATCTTTCCAGGGCTGCAGAGACTAGTTAAACTTGTTACTGTGCTCAATCTGCAGGCTGTTGCCTTTCCTTGGCTTCCTTTTCAACTCCATGTTACAGACCTGCCCCAAAGGTAAATGTTCTACTTACCTCTGCGTTTGAGTTGTAAAATAATTCTTATAAGTGAATTAATGAGAAAATAATGAATATGGATATAAAATACTAATATGAGACAATGACCCCAAGTCACTTTACACAGAGAGCATATAGAATGCTCTTCCCTGTCACTGTTTATCACTCTTCTTGGAAACACTCTTTCCTTGGCCTCCAGGACCCACTGTCACTCCAGGACCTCACTATGTCCCCCTCAGTGTCCTTTGCCGGTCCCTCCCCCTCTCTGTGAGCTCTCAACACTGCAGTGACCCAGGATGAGGTCTTCTCACCTCTTCTCTCTCTACACACCTTCCCTATATGCTCTTAGACAGGTCCACAACTTTAAAATACTTATGTATCTTTCAATGACTCCCAAATTGAATATCTCTAACTCAGACCTCTGTTCTGAATTCCAGGCTCATATATCCAACCGCTATCTCAAAATCTCTGCTTGATTTCTCCAATAACCATCTCAAACTTTACATGTCCAAACCAGAGCTTTGATTCCCGCCCACTCCCATCTTGGTTTGGCTGCCCCCAGGAGCAGACTCTGAGACAAGGACCTAGAGCAGTGGTTAGCAGGGGAAGGGGGAAGATGGGTAGATTGTTTGCAAAGATGGCCTAAACTTTCTTCCCTTCCTGTATGCCTGCCCCTCTGCAATGTGACTTTGACATAACTCCCACCAAGAAGTGGGATTTATCTCTTCACCCTTTGAACCTAGTCTGGCATTGTGACTTGCTTTGACCAACAGAATGCGGTAGAAGTGACACCCTGAGACTTCTGACCCCAGGCCTAATGATGCTTTGGGCTTCCACTTTTGCCCCCTAGAATGCTGCCCTGAGACTGCCACGTGAAGATTCCCAGTCTAGCATAGTGGGGATGAGAGGGCATGGGGAGCAGATGAGCCATTCCATCTGAAGCCTCTTAAATCAACCAGCTGACAGCTAGCACATACCATCTATCAGCAGAGGTCATCTTAAATCATCCAGCCTCAATCAAGCTGCCAGATGATTGTAGTCACTAAGTGACCCCAGGCAAGGCCAGCAGAAGAGTCACCCAGCTGAGTCCAGCCCAAATTGCTGACCCACAGAATTATGAGCAAAAATAATAGTTGTTTTAAGCCACTAAATTGTAGGGCAGTTGTTTTGCAACAAAAGCAAACTTACACAGGAGATCACCCCAGGAGGTACAAGCAAAGAAATAGGGGAAGTAAGAAAGAGAAGGGAGAAAAGTTAATAAAGGGTGTTTTGAGGAGCAGGCTACTACTGTGGGCAATTTAAGCTGAATCCTGCTGGAAACCCTCTGAGGAATCTTGTAGAAGGCATCTCAGAACTGTCCCACCAAGAAAGAGAGAAACTGGGTTATTTATCCGATAACTCCCTCCCCATTCCTCACTGTTAAAGAGATCCCTGGGGGATTTAGGTCCCCAGTACTTCTGGGCTGCTCTACAGCCAGGCTGAACAAGTTTCTCGGCAATGGAGAAATCCCTGAAACAGAAGTAGAGGGATGAGGATTTGTCCACCAAGTTGCAAATTCAGAAGTAGGCGAACGGGAGGCAGCACAGGGCATCAATAGCATCTGCTAACTCCCCAAACCCATTTCTTCCCAAATCTTCTCCAATTCAGTAAATGGCAACTCATCCTCCTGTTGCTCAAGCTCGAAACTTCATCCTTGGACTCGTCAATTTCTTTCACACTCCACACTAAAATTCTTTTAATTTTATCTTTAAAATATATCCAGAATGCAAATATTTCTCATTATCTCCTCCACTATAACTCTGGTCCAAGCCACCATCATCTCTCACTCAGATTATTGCAACTGCCTTCTCACTGGTCTCCTATGCAACAGCCAGAGTGACCATTTAAAACACAAGTCCTTCTTCAGTTCTCAACCCTCCCAGAGCTCCCCATCTCATTCAGAATAAAATACAAAGTCTTATTATGGTATGGAAGGTTCCATGTGATCTGGTCCCTGCTATCTATCTGACCTCGCATCTTACAACTCTCCCCATTGCTCATTGCTCTGGCCTCACTGGTTTCCTTGTAGTTCTTCAAAATCCCAGGCTCACTCCCACTTCAGGGTCACTGTATTTGCTGTTCCTCTATCTGAGATGCCCTTCCCAGTTATCCACACACTTACACCCCTGACTTTCTTCATGTCTTTGCTCAAGTGTCCCCTTATCAGAAAGGCCTTCCCTGACTCTAACTAGGCAAACTCTCCCCAGTCACTCTTTACCCCCTTTCCTTGCTTTATTTTTCTTTACTAATCAGCTGACATGTAATTTTTATACTGCTTATCTCTTTCCACTAGAATGTAAGTTCCATGAGAGTAGGGGCTCTTTACGTTTGCTGATGTATTCTCAGCACCTGGATTAAGTTCTCGCTAACTGACTGAATTAGTATGTACCGTGGGGCATTCTGATTATTTTGTATGGATTATTTATAGGCTAGCTCTCTGGCTGAAATAAAAGAATCAAAAGCCTCCAGTAAAACTTTAAAGAAGAATGCTTAAATTGCAAAGTTGGCAGTGAATATTCTTGGGTTACACTCATATAAAGATTAAAGTAGCAACATTAGAAAAAAGTTATTCTGGGGCCGGCCCGGTGGCGTAAGTGGTTAAGTGCGCCTGCTCTGCTGCGGCGGCCCGGGGTTCACCGGCCCAGATCCCGGGCCTCACCGACGCACCACTTGTCAAGGCATGCTGTGGCGGCGTACCATATAAAATAGAGGAAGATGGGCATGGATGTTAGCCCAGGGCCAGTCTTCCTCAGCAAAAAAAGGAGGAGGATTGGCAGATGTTAGCTCAGGGCCGATCTTCCTCACCAAAAAAAAAAAAAGAAAGAAAGAAAGAAAGAAAGAAGTTATTCTTAGAGACATACTGTTGAGATGTTTACTGAAACATATTGTGCTTGATTATTATAGATCTATCCATTAATCATTCACTCAAAAATACAGACTGAGCCCTTCTGATATTGCTGAGTCCTGCCATCAAGGATACATCATCACAATCAATTATCACAGAGCAATGAGAGGTTCTGAGCTGGCAAGTGTGTATGATGCTTGACAGTCAGGGCTGCCACCTGTCAAAGTACTAAGGTCAAAGGTGCCAGAAAGACCTCTGCAAGGAGTGACAGGAGGGAAGATGCACAGACCCCTGGACTCGGGCAGGGGGAGAAAGGGGAGGTCCCAGCTCAGGGAGCAGCACACAGCCACAGAGACAAGGGGTACAAGGTTTGTGGAGGCCGTGCAGTAGCTCAGGACGGCTGGAGTGTCACCTGCTAGTGAGAAAATTATTGCTTTAGAAATGTGTTGGGATATGGACAACTGAATTGAAACTGTTGGTTTGAAGTCTAACCAAACAACTTCTGTTATAGGAGATATAATGAATAGCATAACTGTTTGGGAACCTTTTCAGTTCCTTTTAGGGATATGATTGAATTGTGGTACCCAGAGTTTCAGATTTAGAGCTTTGTTAACTGGTTTTTCATCTGGAAATCACCTGAAGTTCATCCAGAATTTATCCCCATTTTCTCTGAGTTCCTAGATTCCTGCACTTTGAACTCTTTTGCCCCTTACTATCAGTTATGTTAGGTCTTTTGACTGCTTTCTGCTCACCCCTGAACTACAGAATGCCTGGGTCTAAGGTGGTATTTTACTTCCATTTTCTTTTCTTCCTTTCTCTCCTCTTCTCGCTTATCATCTCTCTCACACATCTTTGTAAGACTTGGATTCTCCTAGTCAACTATGGTCAGCTCCAAATAGGTAGATAAAACCATGCTCTATTTTAAGGAATACTTTTTTGTGTAATTGAAATGCTCGCTGTAACGTGAGTTGAAATGTAGTAGTCGTAATACCATAATACAGTTATACTCAGACAAACGTTATCGCAATTACATTCTATATTTCTGCCTCTCTTCCCTTCCCCCATGTCCCTCTTAGAATCAGGAAGCTTAAGGGAAATCTTGGCCATCACAAGCCCTTATGTCACCCAGCAAGTCCCTCCCTCTTCTGAATTTGATAGCTTGTCCTTTAGCCACTCTGAGGAGTATCAGCTCCCTGTTTGTCCAATAGGGTCACCATCTGAGGGTGTTCAGCTATTCCTTGAGCCCCGGTGGTCCACAAGGAGGGAGTTGTGCCCCATCAGATGACCCTGCAGCAGGGAGGGGCAATCCTGGGTCAATTCTTCTACATAAGCCTAGAGTCCCTAGCCTTCCATACAATCAAGATTTTTCCTCCCTCCAGGGATACAAATGGGATTAGCACATCATGGCTATAAATTAGTGTTCTCTAGTAAGTCACACCAGGATCTAGGAGGACCTTTCTCAGAGAGATTTCATATAATTACAAAGTTATGTGGAAAAACTCTGTCTAAAAACCTTGTCAGCACGCTGCTTCATGATGCACCTGGAGACTGGAAAGGAACCTGCCTGTTGAATCAGCCTCAGGGAGGAGACGAGTTATGACTAATGTCCTGGTGGCCAATTGTTCTGTCCCAGGAGAGCACACACAAAGGGTCAGGAGCCTCTCTTTTCTGAAGCCAAGTGTTTGCTGTGCCCGCCCTCTGCAAGGTGTGTATGTGCTCAGGTGAGGAGCCACATTTGCTCAGACATTTGAAGATAAAAGATCTTACTGCAGAGGGTGGAAACCAGGTGGTAATATCTGAACACTATGTGATATATTTTGTGTAGAGAAGGCAGGGCAACTGAATAATCCTTTGATTGGTCTCTAGGTCTCATGCTGTTCTGAAATATCACCATGTTATTTTTTTTTTTTTTTTTTTAAGATTTTATTTATTTTATTTTTCCCCCCAAAGCCCCAGTGGATAGTTGTGTGTCGTAGCTGCACATCCTTCTAGTTGCTGTATGTGGGACTCGGCCTCAGGATGAACGGAGAAGTGGTGCCTCGATGAGCACCCGGGATCCGAACCCGGGCCACCAGCATCGCAGCGCACGCACTTAACCACCAAGCCACAGGGCCGGCCCATCACCATGTTATTTTTAAAAAAAGAAAAAGAGAGAGAGAGAAAGAACTGAATTAGGCCTAACTGAGGAATTTTGGCAAGTGTCTATAGATGACCTCCTTACTGGGAAAACACACACACACACAGAGCCCCTGAAAAGGTTTAAAAAGTTGTTTTCTGAGCAAAGGAAAGCAGAGTGGAAAATCAGGGCCTAGGCCCTGCTCTCTGGGATACACAAAGGCAAGGATGTAAAGGCTGGTTCTCCTTCAACTCATCTCTCCTTATTTCCCAAAGTCCTCCCTTTAACCCCTTCCTATTTTCTGTCCCTCCTTCCCCACTACACCCTCCTCTACCCAGAGCAAACCAATCATCCCAACAAAAATAATGGAACTCCTATCCCCTTCTTTCCTGTGTCTTGCAAATTTTGCATCTTGCGCTTCTACTGAAAATCAGCATCTTCTCTTGAGCCCTTAACCCCATTTCTGCTGGCTCTGCAAAGAGGAAAGGTAAGCTCAGGCCTTGCTTGTTTCTCCTATCCCTGCCTCTTGAAGAGGGGCGAGCTGGATCCTAGGATGCCAGTGAGACTTCCATTCCATGCTGGCTTTCTCCCAGAGCACAAAATCAAACACACCTCCGTACCTAGGGATGCATGTTCTTCTGAAGCCCCACATCTGATCTATACAGTCTTATTCCTTTTATCACATTTTCTCACCTTATTACCTTACATTCACCCTCCCCCCTGCCTGGGTCACATTACAAAGCACTCTGACCTTGACTGACAGCAAAGGCATCCCTTCATTCCTTGCCCAAATCCCCAGGTATTGCCTGGACACAGGGGCAGTGGTGGACTGGGGAGTTCTAATTTACCCTACTTCTACAGTGCCCCACTGTAAACTGAGTTTATCAGTGAGTTTGATGATATGTGTGTACTTCTTGACTTAGAACAAATGGCTCTTCATTCTCTGCCCTACTTGCCTCAGCAACAACATTCTTACAATCACTCTTCACTCTAGCCATACCAATGGCCTGAGCAAGAAAGGTAGCAGAGGCCTAGACCAGTCATTTCCAAAGGGGGATGCACACAACCTGGGGTGAGGGGGAGCAAGATGCCCCATTTGCTGTGGAAATTACTACTAGAAAATTTCTACTAATTTTGTCTAAAAAAGAAATAAAGCTTTACCAATATTTAATATGTGAATTGTCACTGGCTGGTCATATGGTCTGGTCCTCAGACAGCCAAGTGCCACACTGGCACAGGGTTTTCACTTTTGTTCACATGGAACATGTGGCCATGCATCTCACGTTGTGTGTGCCCTGTTAGGTAGCTTCAGATTATATCAGCAGCTTTCCAAGACCAATCGTCACAAAATGAACAAGCGGCTTTAAAAGAAAATCCTGCAAAGAAACCTCTGACTGAGGATAATACTCTTAACACAAGCACAAGGGAGCAAGAAAATACCAGAGCGCTTCTCCTGCACCTGCTGTGAGCTCTTAATCAGCTACATGAGGAGGCAAAAACAATGGTGATCTAATCAAGTCTTCTTAGAGTAAGCCAAAAAATTCAAAATTATGAAGAAGACTTTGAAATAAAGATTCATTATCTGCTATAATAAACAACAAACCTCACCATATGTGAATATTGAATACTAAGCAGCGAGCCTTGTGGGGTGTCTTCCTCAGCATGACAGACAGTCAGGCCCAGCATTGAGATACACTCAACTTAGAACCAATCTTTCAAATTGCTTTATCACAGAGTGTTAAACCAACATTTCCAAAAATAAAGAACCGTATTCAATCACCTTTCTCTTACAGAGCAAAAGTTTTTATATGATTATTACATTTAAAAAATTACTTTTTTGGGGCCGGCCTAGTGGCATAGTGGTTGTTTGTGTGCTCCACTTCAGCAGTCTGGGGTTCACAAGTTTGGATCCCAGGCATGGACCTACACACCATTCATCAGGCCATGCTGTGGTGGCATCCCACACACAACATAGAGGAAGATTGGCACAGATGTTAGCTCAGGGCCACTCTTCCTCACCAAAAAAAA